AGAGAAGTGGTGGTCACTGTGGGCAGGACCGATGGACGTTTTATAATTCCAATTAGAATCTTCACAGTGCAGTGGCTTCAGATTTATTAGGCCCCGTTAATCTTGATCATGGACTCAGCAGATTGTTCCATCTGCCCCTTAGTTCCCATAGTTCCCATAGTTCCCATAGTTCCCATAGGTGAAACCCGGGCTCAACTGCTTCTTGTCTCTGGACAGGAAAATGATGGACTCTGGACAGATCGATTTTTACCAGCATGACAAAGTTTGCTCCAATACCTGCAGGAGCACCAAGTTCGACCTCCTCATCAGCAGCGCGAGAGCCCCCGTGCCAGGCCAGCAGACAAGTGTGGTGCAGACCCCCACCTCGGCCGATGGTAGGGGGTAGGACACCACCCGGAAAGCTACTGCCTACGCCAGCCCTTCCCTCCTCGCTCATCGGGTCTCCCTTAGGGTTTTGGTTTTGAGACCCTGTCTCACCATGTAGCCCAGGCAGGACTTGTACTTCCTGTGATTTTCTTGCTTCTGCCTCCCCAAACAAACAAACCACCATGCCTGAGTCCCTGGTATTTCTCTTTCCAGTACCTGTGAGCATGGATGTGCTTTTGTGCTGTGTTGTAAGGTATTACAGCAATCTCGGCTAGAGTCTAAGCCCTGGAAACAGATTCCTTTTTCCTCTTAAAATGACTCATTTTGTTTGGTTTGAGACTAGGTTTTTGTAGCCCAGGCTATCTAGAAACTCACTTTGTAGCCCAGGCTGACTTTAAATTCATGGCTGTTCTCCTCTCTCAACCTCTAGAATGTTGGGATTACAGGCTTAAATCACCTATGCCTAGCTTATTCTCTCTTCCTCTCTTTTTTTGGGGGGTGTTTTTAAAGACAGTGTTTCTCTGTGTCCCCCAGCAATCCTTTCTTTCTGCCTCCCAAGTGCTGGGATTAAAGGCATGTGCCACTATACTCAGCATGCCTGGCTATTTTAATTGATTCTATTTTGTTTGTTTGTTTTTTTCTGAGACAGGGTTTTTCTGTGTAGTTTTGGTACCTGTCCTGGATCTTGCTCTGTAGACCAGGCTGGCCTCAAACTCACAGAGATCAGCCTGGCTCTGCCTCGTGAGTGCTGGCAGGCACTAAAGGCATGCACCGCCGCCGCCACCGCCGCCTGGCTTTAATTGATTCTTGTTGGCCAACTCTCTTCCTTGTTTTTTCTTTTCTTTTTTCTTCTTCATCATCATCATCATCATCATCATCAATACTGCCTGTGCATGCTAGGCAGATTTTCTATCTCTAACTTAAATTTCCAGCATTCTTTGTTTGTCTTTGTTTTGATTTTTGAGACAGGGTTTCTCTGTGTAGTCCTGACTGTCCTGGAACTAGCTCTGTGGACCCAGCTGGCTTCAAACTCAGAGATCCGCCTGCCTCTGCCTCCCCAGTACTGGGATTAAAGGCGTGCGCCACCACCTGGCTTATTTCCAGCATTCTTCTTCCTTACAGTGCGTGCCAAGCATTAGAGAGATGTTCTGTACTTACAGGGCTTATTCAGTGCTCTCATTTTCCTGCCAGTCTCCAGGCGGGTCAAGGTTGAGTGGAGCCTTGGTAAGATTAGAAAGGTAGATTAGAATGACAAACATCTTCAAATGTTGAAGAGGCAGGTATCAGTGGCCGGGCTGAGCAGACCACTGCCTGAGTGAGCCCCAGCTTACCAACCTAGACTTCCTCACAGATGAGTAAATCGGGCCCACACTGACCCTCAGGCTTTGTTTGTTTACACGAGGCCTTCCTATAGAGCCCTGACTGGCCTGAATTTGCTATGTAGACCAGCTCAAACTTAGGGCCAACCTTCTGTTTTGTGTTGTTGCTGTTGTTTTGATTTGATTTGTTTTGAGACGTAGTCTGATCATGTAGTCCAAGCTGGCCTAGGACGCCTCCTGCATCCACCTCCTGAGTGCTGGGGTTCCAGGCCTGTGATACTATGCTCAACTGACTTTTAGTGCTTTTGAATTTGGGTCTGGGGCTCCTTCTTATCATCTAGGGGAGAGCGAGGAGGGAGGGAAAGAGAGGGATGAGAATATATATGAATATGAACTCTGGTGGATTTAGTCACGGCCTCTGGAGACACCACAGTTGTGTAAAATATGTCTCAGCTGCTACTATAAAGCCTTGGGTATGAGGGCACCAGGCTGGCCTTGGACTCACAACGACCTTTCTGCTTCAGCCTCCCAAGTGCTGGGATTATATATAATCCTGACCCACCTCACATGTCTTTGTGGGGTTAATTTTGGTTTAGTTTTTGGTGAACTCACAAATTCTGAGAGTAACCAATAGGAGAGTAAAAACCAAATCTCTCAGAGCCTAAGTGCTATTTCAGGAAAGTGTCTAGCGGAGAATTTTCATGCATTTGACTCTTTTGCTTAGAAAAGGAAGAATATTCCAAACTGATTGATTTTTATTCGTCAAACCTGACTTGATTGTCCATGCCCTACGATTTCCCTGGTTGCTGCTGTCCTCCGGTATATAGAGCTCACGTGTGTCTATATTGCTGTCTGAGCCACTTTGGTTTTTCTTAGTTCTTGTTCAGCTTTTTAGAGACAATTGAAAGGTAAAGTGTGTGAATGTGTGTGTTTTAAGATTTATTTGAATCGTGTGTGTATATGTGTGTCTGTGGTTTTTGTGCATGTGTATGGGTGTGTGTCTGTGTGGGTATGTGCATGTATATGTGGGTACCCATAGAAGACAACAGAGTTGGATCCCCTTAGAGCTGGAGTTACAGACAGTTGTGAACTGCCTGATATGGGTGCTGGGAACTGAAACACCAGTCCTCTGCAAGAGCAACATGTGCTCTTAACCACTGAGCCGTCTTTCCAGTTCCATGTCTGTGTCTATTATTCATGGATCTCTTATGTGATCTTTTTTTGTCTCTTGTTCTCTTGCTTTCTCATCTCAGGCTGGTTCATTAGCTCAGCTGGTTCATTAGCTCAGGCTGGTTCATTAGCTATGACAACTTCAGATATTCCAGATGCTTACTATCAAACATGTTTGTAGTAGGACTCATGACAAGTACACTGCTTTGAAATGATCCTAGGTCTTTCTCATCCTCAGGAAGTCTGCAGTGGGTGGCCTGACAGGCATACCTACCCTTAGTCACTTTCAAAAACATCTGCCTGCCTAGGAAGCAGACTGCTCTTGGAAGGTTTTGTTGTTCTTTTTTCTTTTTCTGTTCAGAGTAAAAAGAAAGCTTTTTCTTCGAAAGGCAAGTTTTCTTTAGAAAATTCTGTGTACATCCTGACTTACCTAGAGATCAGGATTTTAAAATATAGACACTAGGCAAGAGGCAGCATGCTAAAAATCACGTGGTCTTTCTGTCTTTGAGAGAGGATACTGACTTTTCCTCATAAAATTGATGGCTTTGTTTCTAACGGACCCTGCTTAGGTAACATCACACAGATTGCCATCTCAGAGGAGAGCATGGAAGAGGCTGGGCTGGAGTGGAATTCGGCTCTCACTGCCGCTGTCACCATGGCCACAGAGGAGGGCATCAAAAAAGAATCGGAAGAAATTTCAGGTACTTTCCTGTGTAGCCCCGCCCTCCCTGTAGCCCTGTCTTCCTGTTGGTGTAGGACCTCTTCTTATGTCTGCTCGTCTTCCGAATAGAGATGACTACTAACTATAGCTGGGATCACCTCCTTTTAAATTTCATTTTACACGTGGAGGGATTGAGATTTCAGGTGGCCCGAGACTGGTCATACAGTACTTGTCAGAGCTGAACTGTTTGCTTGTTGGACTCCATTGTCCGTGCTTTTCCTATTAGCAGCTGTCCCCATCTCTGGGTCATTTCTTAGGTAAATCAAACTTGGAGAAGTTAGAAGGAAAAATTAGGTAGCAGGTAGCATAAAGTGTATGACTATTAATTCCCTTATTGGGGACCAGGAAAAGCTTCATCACTTTCCCCTTCTTCTCATGGTTCATTTAATAAATCTCTGTTGCCTGTCTGACACTGTTGCTACTTGCTGGATACAGACATGAAGAGCCTTAGCTTCCACTAGGGAACCTGCAGGCCCTCCCCCCAGCTGTTTGGTTTAGTGTAGAACTAGAGGGAATATCTTTAATTAATATTTAGCTTAATATCTTTATTAGCTAACCTTTATAAAATTAAGTCTTATTTAATTGAAAGCAAAATTAAAATTGAATTATTCAAGTAATACTTAGTCTTAAATATTGAATGCCTGTTTAATATTTAACTGAATATCTTTATTGGACTGAGATGTCTGTTTTGATAGCCAGAATCATAACAAATCAAGGGCATGACAAATTGAGGCAGGCAATTATCCCAAGCCCCTAGTGACTGAAGGGGCTAATAATTAGTTTCCAACTCCTGGAGGCAGCCAGTCTTCCATGTTTTAGTACAGAATCCTTTGGAATTGGAATGAACATTACAGACAGGTGCTGAGGTGTCTGTGTAATACCTCTGTCTACCTTCTCTCTCCCCCTCTTGCACCAGAGGACACTTTGATGTTCTGGAAAGGAATCGCTGATGTGGGGTTGATGGAGGAGGTCGTCTGTAATATCCAGAAGGAGATAGAAGAGCTGCTCAGGGGCGTGCAGCAGCGGCTCCTCCAGGCTCCCTTCCAGGTCACAGGTAAGTGCACCGAGCCTGGTAATGGCCTTCAGTTTTGAATCCTCACGACTGTCTCACAACTGCCAGGCAAAGGTATCATTATCTTCGTTTTACAGATAAGAAAAGTAAAGCTCATAAAAGTTAAGTCATCATCTTTTGTGGTTCCTGACCGTGTTTTGTTCATTTATGTGGTCCTAGGGATTTAACGTGGCCTCAGCACACTGGGCAAGCACTCTTCTACTGAGGGCAGCCCCAGCCTTATGTTATTTTGTTCATGAACTGAGTTTTAAACTTTAGTTTGAGCCAGGCGGTGGTGTCTCAAAAACAAAAGAAAAGTTGTGCACCACCTTACCCCCCTTCAATTTTTTTTTTTTTTTTTTTTTTTTTTTTTTTTTTTTTTTTTTTGGTTTCTTGTTTTTTTTTTGTGACAGTGTCCCATGCGTCCCAAGCTGTCCTCTGACTTTATATAGCCAAGGTCAGCCTTGAATTTCCATCCTCCGACCTCCCCTACTGAGTGCTACCTAGAGGCCTGAGCCAGGAAATCCACCTTTACTTACATTTATTTGTTGGTTTGTTTGTTTCTTTCCTGGGAGAGGGCGGTATCCACATCATATGCATATGTGGAGGCCAGAGGACAATGCAGTTTTTCCTGTCTATCAAGCAGGTCCCAAAATCAAACTCAGATCTGTGGGCTTGGCAGCAAGCCCCTTTCCCTGCTGAGCCCTCTCACTGGCCCTGTGTACTTAGTGTTTGGGCCCTGGAAATGAAAGTAAGGACTTTGCATAGACCAAGGAAATGCTCTGTCACAGAGCTAACTCCCACCGTCGTGTAAATCAGTGTGTGCTTGGAATGTAACACACGCAGATAACACAGAAAGCTGAGGTGATTGTTTTCATAGTAGTTAAGAAAGGCCTTTGAGGACACTGACCTTTGAGCAGAATCTGAATTTTAGAAGTTAAGCATGTAATGAGCTGGGAGAAAAAAACTTTCAGGCAGAGAGATCAAAGATCTTGGAGTGACAATGTCTGGTGATTACAAAGAATTATAGGAAGCTGGGCAGTGGTGGCGCACGCCTTTAATCTCGCACTTGGAAGACACAGGCATGCCGATCTCTGTGAGTTTGAGTCCAGCCTGGTCTACAAAGTCTACAAATTGAGTTCCAGGACGTCCAGGGCTGTGTCACACACACACACACACACACACACACACACACACACACACACACACACACAGAATTATGGGAAAACCCAGTGTAACTGTTGCAACTGCATTGGTAAGGCTGAGGGTGCAGATGGGTAGGGCCTGTGTTGTTGTTTGTTGAGATAGGGTCTCTACATAGCCTTGGCTGTCCTGAAACTCACTATGGAGATCAGGCTAGCCTTACTATTATCTTTCCCTCCTGAGTCCTGGGAAAGGTATGTGCCACTACACCCAGCCATTTATTGGTTGTTGTTTTTTGTTTGTTTGTTTGTTTGTTTGTTTTGTTTTGTTTTGTTTTTGAGACAAGGTTTCATCTATAAATCAGGTTGCCCTTCAATTCCAGACAGTGATTTCACCTCAGCCTCCCAAATGCTGGATGACAGGTATGAGCTGTCATTCCTGGCCTATTAGATTATTTGGAGAAGGAGTCTCATCATGTTGCCCAGGCTGATCTCAAATTGTCTTGCTTCAGCCTTCAGAATAGTTGGGACTAGAACTGTCCATCACCACACCCAGATTTTACCATCCTGTTTTCTAAACATGGGTCAGAATTTATAACTAGATGCAAAATTTAGAGTTTTTGTTGTTCTTTTGTGGGGTTTTGTTTGTTTTAAGATGGGGTTTTACTATATAGCTTTGGCTATCCTGGAACTTGCTATGTTGACCCGGCTGGCCTTGAACTCACAGAGATCTGCCTGCCTCTGCCTTTCAAGTGCTGAGATTAAAGGCATGCGCCATTATGCCTGGATTTTTTTTTTTTAAAGATTATTTATTTCACCTATTTCTGTATTTTTGCTTTTTGTCTTTGCAATGGTAGGACAGGAGCAGCATGCTGCCGCTACCCAACCACTGTGTCATACCCTGCAATGGTAGGACAGGAGCAGCATGCTGCCGCTACCCTACCAGTGTGTCATCCCTGTTTGATTGTTTACGTAGGAAGATCTTCCCATGTGTTACAAACCAAAATTAAATACATATGATAAATCTGCCTTAAAAAACTTGCTAGCCAGGGTTGGAGAGATGGCTCAGCGGTTAAGAGCACTGGCTGCTGCTTTTCCAGAGGTCCTGAGTTCAATTCCCAGCAACCACATGATGGTTCACAACCATCAATAATGAGATTTGGTGCCCTCTTCTGGCCTGCAGGCAGAACACTATATACATAATAAATAAATAAATTAAAAAAAAAAAACACCAAAAAACTTGCTAGCCAAGCAGTGGTGATCCAAGCCTTTAATGTCAGCACTCAAGAGGCAGAGGCAAGCAGATCTCTATGAGTTTGAGGCCACTCTTGTTTACAGAAGGAGTTCTAGGACAGCCAGAGCTGTTACACAGAGAAACCCTCTCTCAAAAAACCAAAATGGGACAGACAGACAAACAAACAAACTGCCAGGCATGGTGCTAAGTGCCTATCACCCCAGAACTAAGGTTGTAGAAGTAGGAGTTCAGGGCTATCCTTGGCTAGTTTGAGGCCAGCCTGGGCAATGAGATCCTTTCTGAAAACTACCACCACCACCACCACCACCACAATTACTGAAATGTGTTTAAGAGAGTTCCATAATTTCTTTGTTCTTTTCCTTGTTGGGGGTGAGGGAAGGTGTGATCAAATCAGAGGCTCAGGCTGGCCTAGAACTCACTCTGTAGCTTAGGCTAGCCTTGATTACTGATCACACTGCCTCCATCTCCCGTGTTGGGATTACAAGCATGCAGCCCCACTCTGGGTTTCTGGGTTCTTTGAGATCTATGACGATCACATCAGGGGCTGTTTAGACTCCACAGGAGGCCTGTGCTTTGTTTCAAACAGATGCTGCTGTTCTAAACAATGTGGCACATACATTTGGCCTAATGGACACAGTCAAGAGAGTTTTGGACAACAGACGGAAGCAAGTGGAGCAGGGAGAGGGCCAGTTTCTCTACACCCTGGCAGGTACGTGGGCATGTGCTTGTCTTGCGTGCTGTTGGAGGGTTGATGTGTCACTAGGTATTCTAATAATCTCGGGAAGTTGGTGGCAGGAGACACCATCAGCTTTCCTTTTATTTCATTGTTGAGAGGGCTCTTTTAGCTAACTATAGATTTTGTACATTTTCCATTGTTTGTCATAGTCATAAACTAGGCTGGCTGAGTTGGTAAAATGTTGCCCCTGTACGCATGAGGACTTTATATTTGAATCCCCAATACAAACATGAAAAATTCAGGTTCAGGTCATGCATCTGCAGTCCCAGTATTGGGGAAAAGAAAACAGGTGGATGCCTGGAACTCATTGGCTGGCCAGCCTAGCCAAATTGAGGAGTTCCAGGTTCAGTGAGAGACCCTGTCTCAAACAATAAGGTAGAGAATCACCAAGGAAAACATCTAGTACCCACACACATGGGTACACCCCTACACAAACACATCCCTACACCACAAACAATAAATCCGTAAACAAAGCAGTCAGAAGCTATGAGCACCTAGGTCTTTTAATGCAGCTACTTTGTTCATTTCGAAACAAGGGTTTAGAACTACAATATGGGGTTGGGGGGTGGTGGTGGTGGTGGTGGTGGTGATGGTGGTGGTGGTAGTGGTGGTGGCAGTGGTGGTGGTGGTGGCGGCGGCGGCGGCGGCGGCGGCGGCAGCAGCAGCGCACGCCTTTAATCCCAGCACTCGAGAGGCAGAGCCAGGTGGATCTCTGTGAGTTCGATGTCAGCCTGGTCTACAGAGTGAGATCCAGGAAAGGCACAAAGCTACACAGAGAAACCCTGTCTCAAAAAACAAAAAAGAAAAACTACAATATGGCATAAAATAGTCTCTATCTCTTCAGGCTCTTTAAGAACTTAAGGAAAAACAGATACCGAGACAAATAAACACAAGAAGACAGTTGGGGTTGTAGGTGTGATGGAAGAAGAAAGGGACTTTTCCCTTAGACCTGGAGAGAACTGAGAAGATTTGGAGGATGGAGCTAGAGCTTCGCTGTAGAACGTGTGCTTTTCATCTGCAGTGCCCTGGGTTTGACCCCCGACCACTGCACAAGAGATAGGAAGAGGGAAGGAGAGAATATGAGGATAATTTTCGGGGGAGATGAAACAGGTTCACAGTGTAAATTGTGTAGAGGTGTGGATGAGCAGCCTTTGAGTAACACCGCAGACCACCTTCCAGACAGTTGAGAATCGAAAGGAAAGAAAAATCACTTTAGCATTGGTCTGGTGGTGCACACCTGTGTCTTCCCCGCTGCCCTGAAGACTGAGGAGGAAGAACCTGAGTTCAAAGTCTGCCTGGTCTATATAGCAATGTCAAGGTCTACCTGGACAATTTAGTGAAACTCTGTCTTTAATGAAAATAAAATGTAAAGAGGAAGCTATGGAGTAACTCACTATACAGAGCCCTTGGGTTCAACTGCCAGTACTGTCAAACATAAAAAGAGGAGACCAGTGGGCATGGTGATACATGCCTTGAATCTCAGCTCTGGGGAGGCACAGGCGTGCCAGGACAGCCAGGGCTACATAGAGAGACTTTGTCTCAAAAAAAAAAAAAAAAAAAAAAAAATAAGAAATTTTTAAAGAATTATTTAAAAAAGAAAGGAGAATAAGTAAGCTGAGTATTACACCCATAATGCCAGCAGTTGAGGGGTTGAAGCAGGGGGACTTGAGATCATCAGCCTGAGTCACATGACGGAGGCCTGTCTTTCAGGAAAAAGTCAGTGAGATGGCTCAGAGGGTGGAGGTTCCGCCACCAAGCTTGATGACCTGATGCCTGGACCCCACAGGGCGGGAGGAAACGGATTCCTGCAGACTGTTTTCTGATCGCCAATGCACGTGGCGGCACAGATATATACGCCAGTTCCCTGCAAAGTAAATGCCAACAACTTCTAGGAAAAGATCAGGTGTAGTGATGCATGACTGTCATCCTAGCAGTAGGGAGGTGGAGCCAGGAGAAACAGAAGTTCAAGACCATCCTTGGCTCCCTGTTGAGTTTGAGGGGCCTTTTAAGGCAAAAACAGGGAAGGAGATAGTAGTTGAGGTTTTTAAAGTGTTCCCTGCTCCCCACCCCCATGCTGGGGATCAGACCAAGGACTTCCTTCATGCTAGGCAAAAACTGTCCAGAGCTGTGTTCCCAGCATGCTTGAGGGTTAGTTTTATCCAGTTCCCATTTTTTTTTTTTT